GGGGGGGCGCCCCGAGCTGTGTCTGATATACACCGCCGCCGGGCCCCGCCCGCTACACCCGCCCCCTGCGCCACGAGGGCCAATCCAAGGCTCCACAGGAAGCGGTCGTACCTCATATTCATGAGCTGGGGGGCCGGGCCTACCGACGTCACGCCCCTTCTCGTGCGCTCGCGCTGGGTGCTCTGATTGGTCTGAATGTTCCCAGTCCGCAGTCCCCCGCCCTCGTGCGCGGGGGCGTGGCGGGGGGGCGTGGCTGACCCACTTCGGTATCCGTACCCCCACCCCACCTTCGGCTGGCCTGCGGCGGAGAACAAAGGGCTTGGGTCCAGTGTTTGCTAGGGGTGTCCCACCTGGATGGGACTTTGCTTGAACCCAAACATACGGACTCCACTCAGATCCTCATTTCCGGCTCAGAGACACCCATACTTCATCTGAATCACTGTACCAATCCCGATAGCTTGCCGAGTTCCATGACACCCCAGGACTCCCACAACCCAAAACTCCTGGATATGTGACTTCATACAATCAATCCCACGCCTCACCCAAACCCCAACACTGAAAGAATCCATTTGTGGGCATTTCAACCCCAATATTCTTCACAATCTTGATTCTTCCTCTTTCCCCCAACTTCATCCAACCATTTTGCCTCCAAACTCCAAGCTGCACCCCACACTTGCAGCCAAACCCTGACGTCGCTCCTGCTCTTGTAAGTGCATCGCTACACCCCAACACTCACCTCGCTGGGTACTGTCCTGCACGCTGACACCCACCTGGGTGTGTGGTTTAGCAACTGCACCAGTCAGCAGCTCAGCCCCCAGCCTCCCTGCTTGCCACATAGCCCAGCCATCCGCACAACCCACAGCCCACTGACCACCCACTTCGAGCAGGCACAGGGCCAGGTTCACCATGCCCGTTTCTTTTTTTTTTTTGGTACCGGGGATCGAATTCGGGTCCTTGTGTTTGAGAGGCAGGCAGTGGAACCACAGCTAAATCCCCGGGCCCCTGTGTTTTCTTTGAGGAGGCAACCCTTTTAAACTGGTGATTAGGGTGAGGACAAGCAGATTGACAAGGATCCATACCCCTTAAAGCGGCTCCTGAGAGGAGCCCCAAGGCCTCTGGAGACCCCTCCTACACCCACTGGAGCTCATGTTGCACTCCTGGCCCTAGTGGAAGAAGCAGGTGGACCCTTCCCTGTCCATTCACACCTGAAACGCACACACAGCTCCACTCCAGCGTCTTAGTGGGGCAGGCCCTCTACAGACAGATTAGGGGCAACTGAGGAAGAGGCCCCCATTTTGCTGAGAAGTCCACCCCACTGCAGGCCTTAAACTGACTCTGACCCTCCAATGGGTCGAGGTGACCCAGCTATCTCCAGTGACCCGGTCGCCAGGACTCTGGTCACTCAAGGACCCTCTCACCACCCCCAGGCAGCAGCCGAGTGAGTCACAGCCACCCCCTCTACACCTCACCCTCCACACCACAGCCCTCCTCTCCGTCAGCGGCAGCCTTCTGCTGCGTCAGCCACTCATGCAGGGTGGTTATTAAAAGGGTCAGAGCGACATCAGCACTCCGCTCCCGTTGCCATGCAGGAGGGGCCTAGCCACCCACCCCGGATGCCCTAGGCGAGTCTATGCCCAACCCAGGAGCAGCCTAGACCCCCCCTTTCTGATCTGTACCGGGTTGGGAGCTGCTTGTCCCAGAGAGGACGAGGGCTATGGGGTGCTCCCTGAGTTCCCAGCTCCCCGGATCGTGCATCGACCCCTCCTCGTCCCAGATTCCGAGTGTCCTCCTGTTCCTGGTTTTGTAAAGAGCTGAGTTTATTCTAGTTCATTCATTCATTCATTCCGCCAGCAACCAGTTATTAACTTTGCTACCACCTAGCTGTGCCTGTGCGCCGGGGTCTGAGTCCCCAAAGCCTCGCGGTCCCCCAGCAGGCTGTGGATGTATGGGGATGCCTGTCCCAGCACACGGCTCACCTGTGTAGTGGTGTCTCAAGTTACGCACCTGTCTCCGCGCTCGTGTCCCCGAGGTTGAGTTTGTGTGTTCCCGTGACTCGGCTGTGTCACCACGACCTTCCCGTCTCCGAAGCAGGGTATGTGGGACACCTTCCTTTCCTTACTCCCGACGGCCACCCTGCATCACCCGGGACTTCGGCCGGGTACGCTTCCCGAAGTGGACACGAGGGGGCGCCATGGCCACGCAGTCGCTCAGGCTGGAGCCTTTGGGATTTGTGCCCGAGCTCCGAACCCGCCCCTCGGTGGGGCAGCCAGCTGTCTGGGAGAGCGTGGGAGAATGGGTCCCCCCGCCGCCCCAGCCTTCGGCCACCCCTGGCTCCCTAGATCCTCGCTCGCTGCTCCTTGCCCACTCGGGGCCAGTATCCGAGAGTGGCGGGGGAGTAATAATAACCGAGTGGGGGAGCTAGGAGGTTACTGTTCAGGGGCAGAAGATCGGGTCTGTCCCTGCCCGCCCGCTGGGGTTTCCCACTGGCCCGCAGGTATCTAGGTCCGTCTCTCCCTATTGCTGTATCTCTCCATCTGTGCCTCCATCCCACATCACTCTCCCCCATTCGGTACTGGAGATGGAACCCAGGACCTTTGCAGCCTGAACCCTTTTTAGTTTTATTTATTTTTATTTTATCGCTTTTTTGAGACAGGATCACGCTATGTAGCCCAGGCTCAAACTCGCAGGCGATCCTCCTGCATCGACCTCCCGAGTGCTGGGATTACAGGTGTGTACCGTCATACCCAGTGTTAGAGCCCTTTTAATTTGGGAGGGTACTAGGG